AAGTACATCTGAGGAGAAGAGATTGAGGTAAGATCCATGCCTAGCATGAGTGCCTGGAATAGACATCCTTTTAAGTTCTCGCCTCTTCTGTGATGCTAGGATGCTAGAGCTCTAGGGAAGGCCTCTGGCAGGATCCGAACCTGCAAGAGCAGCAGTTTATCTACCCCGCATGCTGAGGTCATCTTGGAAAAAGTGGAAGTTTTTCTATTCTCCCTATTGGTGCAGGTTTCACACTATGCTCTGACTTGAGAGATATTAAATACCATTAGGACAATAATGAAGCTGGACCCACCTCAGCCAGTGGAAGCCAGGCCTGGTGCCTACACTGACAACAGACCCAGTGGTCAGTGGACAGTCACAGTGGCTGTAACCCTGGTTCGTGTGACATCATTCCCTAGGTTGGTCACCACCCTCTCCCAGCCACCTGCCAATGCATCCCCAGACCCCAGCTAGGTCAAACATTTACCTAAAAGTGCTGCTGCCTGGCTACGTCCTCCAAAACTGCGGCTGAAGGAGCTGTGCCTGCTCGCATAAGAAGCTGGCCGGCTGGGCAGCCAAGGCAGAAGGAATGCAGGAATCTCGGAGTGCAAGAGCTCTTCTGCCACAAAGGCCACTTCAAACCACTTGCGCTGGAAGCTAGCAAAGTCATCCACTCCTGCTGTGTGCCAGGGGGCAGCCGGCTGCTGCATGGCCACTAGGAAAAGCAGAAAGAAGTGAAGGATCCCTCAACATAAATGCTCATTTTCTTTCTGATGCACACTACAGCACAGATGAACCTTGAAAACATTATGCTAAGTAAAAGAAGCCAGACATAAAAGGCCACATACAATACGGCTCCATTTATGGGAAATGTCCACAACAGGCAAATCTTTAGAAATAGAAAGCAGATTAGTGGTTGCCCAGGTAGGGGGAGGAGGGGACAAGAGACTGTTAACAGGGTCAGAGTCTCATTTTGGGGTGATAAAAATGGTCTAGAGGGCTAGGGACATGGCTCAAGTGGTAGAGTGCCTGCCTAGCAAGCATGAGGTCTTGAGTTCAAATCCCTGTACCACCACCAAAAAGAAAAAAAAAAGAGTTTGGAACTAGATAGAGGTGCTGTCGGTCCAACACCCCACCACCGTAAATGTACTAAATGTCACTTAAAATGGTTAATTTTAGGTTGTATGAACTTTAGTTCAATCGATTTTTTTGTTGTTGGGTTTTGTTTTTTGGTTTTCCAATTTGCAGGTGAAACAGGTATTTACTGGTTAAACTTAGAATTTAAGGAGAAAGCATCCATGGACATACTAGAGTCTACCAGAAAAAGAATCCCACACAGACCCATTTCTGTCATGTCCCTGGGTAAGAGTGCACAGTGTTTGGCACCAGCTACATCAGCTCACGTTTTGACTTCTTAGACCAAAGGAGGAGAAGCCATTTGCCCATGGGATGGGAGTCACTGCCAGCCAGGTCCCCACGTGCATGCACTGTGTGTACTAGAGGGTCTCGGTCTGAATCCTGGGTGTCTCCTGACTACGGGAGACAGCTGTGAACATGCTAGAAATTGCTCCCTTCTGGGGGATTACTTTTCCTCAGTTAAAAAAAAAAAATTAGGATTGGAGGAGTGGCTCAAGGAGTAAAAGCACCCATCTAGCAAGTGTGAGGCTCTGAGTTCAAACCCCAGTGCCACCAAAAAGAGAAAAAAAAAGAAAAATAAGGACCAGGGTATGTCTCAGTTGTAGAGTACTTGTCTAGCTTGTATAAGGCCTTGGGTTTGATCCCTAGAAATATGAAAAGCAAAAACTAAATAAAGAAATACAAAAAAACCAAACAGGGAGTATAGGTCAGTAGTAGCACTTTTGCACACTCAATTCCCTGGTTTGATCTCTAGCACCAATGAACAAACAGAGTCCCTTCTAGATTCATAGCTTCCACATCTACAGATGCCACCAACTACACATGGAAAGTAGTCAGGGAAAAAAAATGAACTGCGTCTTTACTGAATACATGTAGCCTTTTTTCTTGTCATTATTCCCTAAAGCAATACATTATACTAGCAGTTGCACTGTATGAAGAATTAATCTAGAGATGAATTACAGTATATAGGAGGATGTACACTGGTTATATGCAAATATAAAAAAATGAAACACATTTCATTTTTTATAAGGGACTTGACATCCATGGAATTTTGTATCCTGGGGAAGAGCAAAAGTTTCTGGAACCAATATCCCTCCAATACCAAGGGATGACTATATTTAAAACATATCTTGCTAGTCTTCTTGGGGGAGGGGGAAGAAATGGAGCTTGGAAACCAGCAGTGACAAGTACTATAAATCAAGACTTGTCACCAGAACCACCTGTGCTGGGAAGGTTGGGGTAGACATAGGGCACTCACTGTACTTAAAAATAGCTACCAAAAATGACCCTGGGAATTTCTTACACTAGGTCCCCTAGCTTCCATGGTTTATCTTCCACCCACATCATCCTCAGCAGGAACATAATGTAGCTTAAGAAATGCTTGTCACTGGTTATACTAAAATTAAGTACAAATGCTCAAGGAAGTTGACAGATTTGTCAACTTAGAATACAAAGTCATGCATGGAGCTCAAGAAGCACTGTCATGTCAAGTCACTAGGAAAAACACCTGACCCTGTGGCAACTGCGTGTGCCTTGGCTCTGACCTCGGTCGGGCTCTTTGTCCATCACTATCTTGTAGAAATAGAAACCATAGATGAAGGTCCGCCAGGCTTCACCGGATGCATGTGTGATGAGCTGTTCCTCCAGCATTTTCTAGGAGAGACAACAAAACTCTGAAACTCCCCAGAGGGGCATCTTCACAGGGCCACAGAGGGATAGCCTGAATGGTGCACTAGAGTCAAGGGAGAATCAGGGTCACTGAGGAGACCATACCCTCTCCACCCCATTAAACATGAAGACTGCACCATACTCAATGTTGTGCCTGGTGTAAGTTATCACGTGATAAAGTGTAAACACATACTGTAACATTAAGTACTTCAAATATACAGAAAAGAATAAAGAAAATCCAGGCAGACCACTATCTAACTTTAACAAATTTAAAATTCTGCTATATAGTTGTCCCTTCTTATCCAAGGGGGATATGTTCCAAGACCCCCAAAGGATACCTGAAACCATAGCTAGTACTGATCCCTATACATACAGTTGTATCCACGGACACAGAGATAAAAAATATTTGGAAATAAAATGCTGCACCAGTACTGAACACGTGTGGACTTTTCATCTTATTATTTCCTAAGCAATGAAGAATAACAAATATTTACACAGCATGGATATTACAATGGGTACAATAAAAGCCTAGAGATGATTTGAACTGCATGGGAGGTGTGCATAAGTATATGCAAATACTACCCACTTTATTTTTTTTACATTTTAAATTTATTTTTACTGAATAAAATTTTTTTTTAGTACACAACATCAAGATTTACTGTAAGCAAGGCATGGTGCAGACCCCTGTAAATCCAGCTACTCCAGAGGTACAGACAGGAGAATCTCAAGTTTGGCCAGTCTGGGCAAAAGTAGGGAGAACCGATCTCAAAAACAAAACAGAAGCAGAAAGGGCTGGGGGCATGGCTAAAGTGGAGGCTTGCCTAACATGGGAGAAGCCTTGAGTTCAATCCTCTGTAGCAAAAAGAAAAAACAAACAAAAAAAAGATTTACTACAAAGTTTCAATAACAACAAAAGTACCATCAGTGGGGTGTTGAAAGAACAGGTAAGTAGATCAAAGAACAGAACAGAGGGCTGGCGGAGTGGTTCAGGTGGTAAAATGCCTGTCTAGCAAGTCTACACCATTTATATAATGGACTTCGTACCTACGGGAGCCCTGGAACCCATCCACAGATACTAAAGGACAACTGTACTATTTTTTTCCTATACATACATACCTTTGGTAAAGTTTAATTTATAAATTAGGCACAATAAAATATTAATAACAACAGCTAATAATAAAATTATTACAATTATCTTGTTTATGCTATATATATCGTAATAAAAGCTATTCAAAACTTATCATCTCTGGAATTTTCCATGTAATATTTTTGGACTGCAGTTGACCATGGAGTAACTGAAACCTTGGGAAGTAAAACTGCAGATAAGGGGGCACTACTGTATCAACTTTAGTTCTTTTTTAAACCAAAAAATTCTCTATGGAGTCTCCCAAGTCTCATTCTTCTCCCTCTCTCCCCCAGAATAAATGGTTAGACTAATAGTCTCAAGCATGTTTTTAAAATGCTATTATACAGACATGCATCAACATGAGATAAGGTATTCTTGTGGGGTTTTATATTTAAATAAAGACCACTTAATAAATTTTTCTCCATCTACATCATGTTTCTGACATTTAGCCATGCTGATATGTGTACCTCCAGCTCATTTTATTTTCATTGCTGGGGTGGTATTTCATCGTACAAACAACAAAACAGTATTCTCGGGAGACGGGATATAAAGTTAGACGGGAAGGTTACACAAAACAGCACACTGAGACCTTCAAAGAGAGAGGAGAGAAGAACATGTTTATTCAGATCAGTTGTTGAGTTTGCACTTCAGTGATGACAACCTGGCTAGTCAACAAAGTGCACCAATTTTCTAGCAGGGAACTCCGTGTGGTTAGGATGGTGCGAACCAGCTCAGACAACTTGGCCTTGTTCCTCTCATGTTTCATTCCAGTTTTGAATAGTGTAACTGAATGCAGCAAGAGTCGGCTAAGTGTCTTGCCGTTTGCAGAGCAATGTGCCAGGCAATGGGAATATGGACATGGGCAGTAAGAGGTGGCCTTCTGTATGGGCAGGAGACAAATGAGATAAAGACAGATTCTTTAGTCTGGTGTGCCAAGGGCACTGACAGTGTAGTACAGGCCACCAGAAGGCCCTGATGCACAGCCTTGACTTTACTCCCAGGTCCTGGATAAGCAGGTATTAACTAGGGTAAATGGTCAAGGGAGGGCATTTCCTGAAAATTTTTACAGAGATTACTCTGAGGTTCAAAAGTATACAGATTCTGTCAGAATACTTCAGTTCAAATGGTAGGTTCTAGCCGACTTTTAAGATGGGGAGTCACTATTTGTCTAGGTTGGCCTCAAACTCTCAATCCTACTGCCTCCACTTCCTGAGTGCAGGATTACAGCCTTAAGGTCTTAAAAGTACATTTCAAAGCAAGATCTGTCCTTTATCAATTCCAGATAGGTCTCACACTGATTAAAATCAGATCCTCACCTCGGCCTGCAGATCTTGGTACTAGAAAGGTTGACTACTTCCAAGATAGGCCCAGGCTGCAGGGGGACCTGAGCAAACAGTTCTGTGGGCCTAGGCTTGCTGCCTCACCTGCATGATGTCGATGGCCATTGCCTGTGTCTGGACCCCCTCCACGTTGTTCATCAGCCAGTGCACCACCTCAGCACTGATGAAGCAGCATGGCGAGAGGCCCTTCTGTTCAGAGAGCAGCTGGACTCCTGTCCTGGGTTCCAGTGCAGTGAGCAGGGTGTGTGTGTAGCCATGGGCAATAAGCAGAAAGAAAGGATGAGAAAGGCACTACCCTTAAAATTTATTATTTTAAGTAAGGGCCCCCCCACACCTCCAAAATGTGATTTCCCTATGTGATTCCTAGACAGAGAGAAGTCCCTGTGACAGGATGGGGCTAAGGGGAAATGGGAGAAGGGAGCTGACATTAGAGAATACCTTGCTTGTCAGGCCTAATACCAGGACCTCACGTAACTATTTAAGTTAATTTTTCCATCAACCTCAACCATGTGTTAAACACTTTAAAAAAAAATCCCACTGTACAAACAAGGTTAACAGAGGCTCAGTGAAGTAACTTGCCACAGCTGGTCAACAGCAGAATGAGGATTAAACCCATCCAACAACACCTATGGCCCTACTGTGGCATATAGGAACCTCTTGCCCCTGCACCATGCACATGACGAGCTACTTACGAGGGATGTTTCATGGCTTCCAGGATCTCCACTAAGGTGGAGGATGACGTCAAAGAGCTTGCTGTCAACTGTTGAGAGCTGTAACAGATAGTGTTAAAAACAAGAGGATACACACATGGTCAAGGACATCAATATTTCTTTCTTTTCCTTTCTTTTTTGGCAGTACTGGGTTTGAACTCAGGGCCTCACACTAGGTAGACGCTCTTCCACTTGAGCCACTCTGCCAGCCCTTTTTTGTGTTGGGTAATTCAAGATAGGGTCTCATGAACTATTTGCCTGGACTGGCTTTGAGCCACAATTCTCTTGATCTCTGCCTCCTGAGTAGCTAGGATTACATTCAGGCTTGGGCCACCAGCACTTGATCAACTCTCTACTTCTTATGGAGCTGGAAACCAGGACAGTACTGACATTGAAGGCATCCAAGCAAATTCTGGATGGCTTGGAGGGTTTCCTACTTCCAAGGTGCACACTTTAGAGAGAAAAAGAAAGAAAGAGGGGAAGAGAAGGGAAGGGAAGGGAAGGGGAGTGGAGAAGAGGAGAGAAAGAAAGGAAGAAATTAAAAAAGAAAGAAAGAGGAATGCACAGTAGCTTAAGCCTGTAATCCTAGCTACTTGGGAGGCAGGAATGGGAGAACCGCAGTTCAAGGCCAATCCAGACAAAAAAGTTCCCAAGACCCCATCTCAACCAATGACTGGGAGCGGTGGTGTGTGCTTGTCATCCTAACTACACAGGGAAGTATAAATACGATGATTGCAGTCCAGGCCTGCCTAGGCATAAAGCAAAATCTTATCTTAAAAATAACCAAAAAAAGGGCTGCTGGAGTGGCTCAAGTGATAGAGCGCTGTCTAGCAAGTGTGAGGCCCTGAGTTCAACCCCCAAAGTACCTGCAAAACAAACAAACAAAAAAACCAGAATACAATTCTGTGTCTAAGCAAATCAACCCTTAAGCATCTCCCCTTTTACTATGCTTCAAACCCAGCCTTCCTTTTCAAGAAACCTCCTTGGACTGCTCAGGTTTTGCCCCAAGGGCCTTTCACAGTCACATGTTCAACATTCATAGTGAATGCTCGAGTATGGGGGACAGAATCCCAGTACTTCAGTGACTTGGTTTTTCTTGGCCTTAAGTTTCCTCATCTGACAAGGGAATGATACAACTCTTGTCTTTTAGTGTAGCTGTGAGGTTAATGTATGTGATACTAAATAGGACTGATACAGCCCTAAATGGTAAACAATACTAAACACTGTAACAATAGCTTCAACTCTTCAAAACTGAGGTTGATTAAAAGGAACTGGTGAAAGTCAAAGAGCAGAGAAACATCGGGGTCTAGATTTGAATTCAGGTCGGCCACATTCTGTCAAGATCTTTCTGCTACCTGCTGTCCAAGTTCTTCTTGATGGTATGAGAGTGCATTAAACATGGTTAAGCCAGGCATGGTTCCACACCACGCCTGTAATCCTAGCACTTGGGAAGCTGAGGCAGGAGGGTTTTCGAGTTTGAGGCCAGAATGGGTTACATGGCAAGGCCCTGGTGCAAAAAAAAAAAAAAAAATCTAGAAAAAAAACCATTTAATACTAGCAACTGAGTGGCCACCCACTATACCAAATTGGGGCCAGTTCTGGGGCTTACTCAGAAGTCCCTCAAGCTCCTTACACATCTCCCTTCCCTCCTTCTCATACTTCTCTGCCTGCCTCTCTGGGTCCAGGATTCGATGAAGCATTTCAGAGTCTCAAGCATGGGCTGAGGGTATGGCTCAGTGGTAGAACACTTGTCTAGCAGGTGCCAGGGCCTGGATTCCATCCTGACACTGCACCAAAAAAATAAAACCCAGAACCTCAGGGTTCGAAAAAGCTTTTCAAGGCCCTTGAAGTGAACTTCCTTCTAATTCTGGGCCTCTGCTGAGTCCAAGTGCCTGGATGAGAAGCTGTTTGTACTACTGCAGGAATACCTTCAAGGCAGAGAACCCTACTTCTCTAACTGCAGCCAACATCTGTGTGGCAGTGCTCATTGCTGGTGTGTTCCCAAACATGAAATGGAATCTGTTTTCTGTGATTTTTCAGTCATTGGTCCGGATTCTGCCTGCCATGTTATTTGGGTCTTCTCACTTGCAGTCTAAACAGCCCTGGTTTCTCTTTTCTTCCAAAAGCAGAAGAGAAGCTGCTGCTCTACCCTTGTAAGCAATGAGGAATCAGGAGACACACTCCATCACTGTGCACTGGGCAGCCCCTCCAAGCTTCTCCATGGCCAGGCACATGCCATGAGGCAATGAAGATACAAGCCTGGGAGAAGACAGAGGATAGAGAAAGCCCAGAACTGCACTCATCATCGCCTCTAGTTGGGCAGAATAACTGCACTAGGATGGATGTGGAAAAGGTAAAACCAGTGCAGAATTTATAACTTGAAGGAAACCAAGTGATGGCTGACAGGAACCAGCCAGGTGGCACCCTGACCATCTTCTGCTCTCAGGAAAATGGGTGCAAAGGTCAAGTTGCTTGGATCATTTAGCCAAGGACTGTTCAGTCAGTACATGGAGGCAGTAAGAACAGGCTGGGCAGAATTATTAGAAAGTCACTATGGCCAGGAAGGAAATTTAAACAAAGTTTCTTAAAACTGACAATGACATTAAAGGCCAGGACACATAACCCTATAAATATGTACAATAATTATGTTGATTCAAAATTTTGAAATAGTTCAAGCAAATGAGGTACAGGCAGCATCTCTCCCCTCTGCATACTCAGGACAGGGAACGAACAGCCACATGTGGCCACAAAAGTGACTCATTTGCTGTTGGCTCATTTCCTTACTGGCTACACGCTATCTTGTGCAAGGCACCATGACACAGGAACTGCGGTGACCAGGACAGACTTGGTCTAGGTCCCCTTCACAAAGCCCTGTACTTGGCATGGTATCTGACTCTTCTCCACATCTATGAGGGAATTTCTCAGCTATTCTGAAGGCAGTGCACAGGATATTAGTTCCATCATAAAACTGTGGGTAAGGACTGACTCACCCAGGTTCCACAAATGACCTGTGACAGGCAGCACACTGGACTCCCAGCCTTGGTGTCTTTGTGGTTGAGCTGTTCCCACCCCACAGGAAGAGCATGCGTTCAGCCATTCATAATCTCACCTGCTGTCACTGGAGTTCGCAGAGGGGAAGGCCTGTTCTCCTATGTTCTGGGAGTTTCCAAAAGTCTGGCTGCTGCCTCTATCCACAGATTGGCCTGTGCTTACCCCCAAACTGGTGCCATCTAACACTGGAGCCACCGTTTGGTCCAGGGATGCCTGTAGGAGAATAAAAATTAATATCTTGATCCAAGAATAACCAACTAAGAAACATAGTAAATAAAGTGATCTGGTTTATTCATTTGACAGACATTTATGTAAATAAATTTAAAATTGAACAAATAAATATTAATAGCTTCCCCCCAAATCTTACTCACGTGGTCCTTTCCACTCCTCTCATTCTCAGTCCCTACTGGGACCTGGTGGAAGAACTAAACTTGCCTAGAGACCAAACCCAGTTCCATGTATACTGCCTCCTATCAGAATAACAGGGGACTCCCAAACCAAGGCAGAACAGGAGGGGGGGGGGGGGGGGGGGGGGGGGGGGGGGGGGGGGGGGGGGGGGGGGGGGGGGGGGGGGGGGGGGGGGGGGGGGGGGGGGGGGGGGGGGGGGGGGGGGGGGGGGGGGGGGGGGGGGGGGGGGGGGGGGGGGGGGGGGGGGGGGGGGGGGGGGGGGGGGGGGGGGGGGGGGGGGGGGGGGGGGGGGGGGGGGGGGGGGGGGGGGGGGGGGGGGGGGGGGGGGGGGGGGGGGGGGGGGGGGGGGGGGGGGGGGGGGGGGGGGGGGGGGGGGGGGGGGGGGGGGGGGGGGGGGGGGGGGGGGGGGGGGGGGGGGGGGGGGGGGGGGGGGGGGGGGGGGGGGGGGGGGGGGGGGGGGGGGGGGGGGGGGGGGGGGGGGGGGGGGGGGGGGGGGGGGGGGGGGGGGGGGGGGGGGGGGGGGGGGGGGGGGGGGGGGGGGGGGGGGGGGGGGGGGGGGGGGGGGGGGGGGGGGGGGGGGGGGGGGGGGGGGGGGGGGGGGGGGGGGGGGGGGGGGGGGGGGGGGGGGGGGGGGGGGGGGGGGGGGGGGGGGGGGGGGGGGGGGGGGGGGGGGGGGGGGGGGGGGGGGGGGGGGGGGGGGGGGGGGGGGGGGGGGGGGGGGGGGGGGGGGGGGGGGGGGGGGGGGGGGGGGGGGGGGGGGGGGGGGGGGGGGGGGGGGGGGGGGGGGGGGGGGGGGGGGGGGGGGGGGGGGGGGGGGGGGGGGGGGGGGGGGGGGGGGGGGGGGGGGGGGGGGGGGGGGGGGGGGGGGGGGGGGGGGGGGGGGGGGGGGGGGGGGGGGGGGGGGGGGGGGGTGAGAGGAGGGGGGGGGGGGGGGGGGGGGGGGGGGGGGGGGGGGGGGGGGGGGGGGGGGGGGGGGGGGGGGGGGGGGGGGGGGGGGGGGGGGGGGGGGGGGGGGGGGGGGGGGGGGGGGGGGGGGGGGGGGGGGGGGGGGGGGGGGGGGGGGGGGGGGGGGGGGGGGGGGGGGGGGGGGGGGGGGGGGGGGGGGGGGGGGGGGGGGGGGGGGGGGGGGGGGGGGGGGGGGGGGGGGGGGGGGGGGGGGGGGGGGGGGGGGGGGGGGGGGGGGGGGGGGGGGGGGGGGGGGGGGGGGGGGGGGGGGGGGGGGGGGGGGGGGGGGGGGGGGGGGGGGGGGGGGGGGGGGGGGGGGGGGGGGGGGGGGGGGGGGGGGGGGGGGGGGGGGGGGGGGGGGGGGGGGGGGGGGGGGGGGGGGGGGGGGGGGGGGGGGGGGGGGGGGGGGGGGGGGGGGGGGGGGGGGGGGGGGGGGGGGGGGGGGGGGGGGGGGGGGGGGGGGGGGGGGGGGGGGGGGGGGGGGGGGGGGGGGGGGGGGGGGGGGGGGGGGGGGGGGGGGGGGGGGGGGGGGGGGGGGGGGGGGGGGGGGGGGGGGGGGGGGGGGGGGGGGGGGGGGGGGGGGGGGGGGGGGGGGGGGGGGGGGGGGGGGGGGGGGGGGGGGGGGGGGGGGGGGGGGGGGGGGGGGGGGGGGGGGGGGGGGGGGGGGGGGGGGGGGGGGGGGGGGGGGGGGGGGGGGGGGGGGGGGGGGGGGGGGGGGGGGGGGGGGGGGGGGGGGGGGGGGGGGGGGGGGGGGGGGGGGGGGGGGGGGGGGGGGGGGGGGGGGGGGGGGGGGGGGGGGGGGGGGGGGGGGGGGGGGGGGGGGGGGGGGGGGGGGGGGGGGGGGGGGGGGGGGGGGGGGGGGGGGGGGGGGGGGGGGGGGGGGGGGGGGGGGGGGGGGGGGGGGGGGGGGGGGGGGGGGGGGGGGGGGGGGGGGGGGGGGGGGGGGGGGGGGGGGGGGGGGGGGGGGGGGGGGGGGGGGGGGGGGGGGGGGGGGGGGGGGGGGGGGGGGGGGGGGGGGGGGGGGGGGGGGGGGGGGGGGGGGGGGGGGGGGGGGGGGGGGGGGGGGGGGGGGGGGGGGGGGGGGGGGGGGGGGGGGGGGGGGGGGGGGGGGGGGGGGGGGGGGGGGGGGGGGGGGGGGGGGGGGGGGGGGGGGGGGGGGGGGGGGGGGGGGGGGGGGGGGGGGGGGGGGGGGGGGGGGGGGGGGGGGGGGGGGGGGGGGGGGGGGGGGGGGGGGGGGGGGGGGGGGGGGGGGGGGGGGGGGGGGGGGGGGGGGGGGGGGGGGGGGGGGGGGGGGGGGGGGGGGGGGGGGGGGGGGGGGGGGGGGGGGGGGGGGGGGGGGGGGGGGGGGGGGGGGGGGGGGGGGGGGGGGGGGGGGGGGGGGGGGGGGGGGGGGGGGGGGGGGGGGGGGGGGGGGGGGGGGGGGGGGGGGGGGGGGGGGGGGGGGGGGGGGGGGGGGGGGGGGGGGGGGGGGGGGGGGGGGGGGGGGGGGGGGGGGGGGGGGGGGGGGGGGGGGGGGGGGGGGGGGGGGGGGGGGGGGGGGGGGGGGGGGGGGGGGGGGGGGGGGGGGGGGGGGGGGGGGGGGGGGGGGGGGGGGGGGGGGGGGGGGGGGGGGGGGGGGGGGGGGGGGGGGGGGGGGGGGGGGGGGGGGGGGGGGGGGGGGGGGGGGGGGGGGGGGGGGGGGGGGGGGGGGGGGGGGGGGGGGGGGGGGGGGGGGGGGGGGGGGGGGGGGGGGGGGGGGGGGGGGGGGGGGGGGGGGGGGGGGGGGGGGGGGGGGGGGGGGGGGGGGGGGGGGGGGGGGGGGGGGGGGGGGGGGGGGGGGGGGGGGGGGGGGGGGGGGGGGGGGGGGGGGGGGGGGGGGGGGGGGGGGGGGGGGGGGGGGGGGGGGGGGGGGGGGGGGGGGGGGGGGGGGGGGGGGGGGGGGGGGGGGGGGGGGGGGGGGGGGGGGGGGGGGGGGGGGGGGGGGGGGGGGGGGGGGGGGGGGGGGGGGGGGGGGGGGGGGGGGGGGGGGGGGGGGGGGGGGGGGGGGGGGGGGGGGGGGGGGGGGGGGGGGGGGGGGGGGGGGGGGGGGGGGGGGGGGGGGGGGGGGGGGGGGGGGGGGGGGGGGGGGGGGGGGGGGGGGGGGGGGGGGGGGGGGGGGGGGGGGGGGGGGGGGGGGGGGGGGGGGGGGGGGGGGGGGGGGGGGGGGGGGGGGGGGGGGGGGGGGGGGGGGGGGGGGGGGGGGGGGGGGGGGGGGGGGGGGGGGGGGGGGGGGGGGGGGGGGGGGGGGGGGGGGGGGGGGGGGGGGGGGGGGGGGGGGGGGGGGGGGGGGGGGGGGGGGGGGGGGGGGGGGGGGGGGGGGGGGGGGGGGGGGGGGGGGGGGGGGGGGGGGGGGGGGGGGGGGGGGGGGGGGGGGGGGGGGGGGGGGGGGGGGGGGGGGGGGGGGGGGGGGGGGGGGGGGGGGGGGGGGGGGGGGGGGGGGGGGGGGGGGGGGGGGGGGGGGGGGGGGGGGGGGGGGGGGGGGGGGGGGGGGGGGGGGGGGGGGGGGGGGGGGGGGGGGGGGGGGGGGGGGGGGGGGGGGGGGGGGGGGGGGGGGGGGGGGGGGGGGGGGGGGGGGGGGGGGGGGGGGGGGGGGGGGGGGGGGGGGGGGGGGGGGGGGGGGGGGGGGGGGGGGGGGGGGGGGGGGGGGGGGGGGGGGGGGGGGGGGGGGGGGGGGGGGGGGGGGGGGGGGGGGGGGGGGGGGGGGGGGGGGGGGGGGGGGGGGGGGGGGGGGGGGGGGGGGGGGGGGGGGGGGGGGGGGGGGGGGGGGGGGGGGGGGGGGGGGGGGGGGGGGGGGGGGGGGGGGGGGGGGGGGGGGGGGGGGGGGGGGGGGGGGGGGGGGGGGGGGGGGGGGGGGGGGGGGGGGGGGGGGGGGGGGGGGGGGGGGGGGGGGGGGGGGGGGGGGGGGGGGGGGGGGGGGGGGGGGGGGGGGGGGGGGGGGGGGGGGGGGGGGGGGGGGGGGGGGGGGGGGGGGGGGGGGGGGGGGGGGGGGGGGGGGGGGGGGGGGGGGGGGGGGGGGGGGGGGGGGGGGGGGGGGGGGGGGGGGGGGGGGGGGGGGGGGGGGGGGGGGGGGGGGGGGGGGGGGGGGGGGGGGGGGGGGGGGGGGGGGGGGGGGGGGGGGGGGGGGGGGGGGGGGGGGGGGGGGGGGGGGGGGGGGGGGGGGGGGGGGGGGGGGGGGGGGGGGGGGGGGGGGGGGGGGGGGGGGGGGGGGGGGGGGGGGGGGGGGGGGGGGGGGGGGGGGGGGGGGGGGGGGGGGGGGGGGGGGGGGGGGGGGGGGGGGGGGGGGGGGGGGGGGGGGGGGGGGGGGGGGGGGGGGGGGGGGGGGGGGGGGGGGGGGGGGGGGGGGGGGGGGGGGGGGGGGGGGGGGGGGGGGGGGGGGGGGGGGGGGGGGGGGGGGGGGGGGGGGGGGGGGGGGGGGGGGGGGGGGGGGGGGGGGGGGGGGGGGGGGGGGGGGGGGGGGGGGGGGGGGGGGGGGGGGGGGGGGGGGGGGGGGGGGGGGGGGGGGGGGGGGGGGGGGGGGGGGGGGGGGGGGGGGGGGGGGGGGGGGGGGGGGGGGGGGGGGGGGGGGGGGGGGGGGGGGGGGGGGGGGGGGGGGGGGGGGGGGGGGGGGGGGGGGGGGGGGGGGGGGGGGGGGGGGGGGGGGGGGGGGGGGGGGGGGGGGGGGGGGGGGGGGGGGGGGGGGGGGGGGGGGGGGGGGGGGGGGGGGGGGGGGGGGGGGGGGGGGGGGGGGGGGGGGGGGGGGGGGGGGGGGGGGGGGGGGGGGGGGGGGGGGGGGGGGGGGGGGGGGGGGGGGGGGGGGGGGGGGGGGGGGGGGGGGGGGGGGGGGGGGGGGGGGGGGGGGGGGG